ATCTGTTAAACATTATACAAATATAGACTTCAGTGTAGGTCAATATGTGGTTATAAGGATTAATCGCAATTGATATTGACTAAAGACACAGAAAGTGATAGTGACTTAGACTGCGAGGTCGCTATCATTTCTGTCTCTGAGGTCAATATTAATTGCCATGAGTCCTTATAACCACATATTGACCGTTCACTGAAGTCCATAATAGTTATATTATATAACCTCTCAAAGTGAAATCACTGATACAGCCCTAAAACAGACTTGGCTGTCATTACGTCACAATGGTTAAATTCACGCTTCTTATATTATGATGTCAGTCGTTCTTAGATATATCTGCACATTTTCAAACCAGTTTAATGTAATATGAGTTTAAATAACAATTGAATAAATGTCATATAATAATGTGATTTGCTTTGTATTCTACTTTCAGGATCTTGTCATTTATCAAAAGACTCCGATTCGAGTCCTACACCGGCGCCCTCTGGCAACAAGGGAGAGAATCGTGTACGGCATGTCAGCAGAGAAAATAGATGACCTTCATTTCACCTTAAGTCTCTCAACACAAGCGGGCACGTATCCTTGTATGGTCGTGTATTTATAAAAAATCAAATGAGGAATTTGGATATTTTTAGACTCCTTTAATAAAAAAGAAATGCAAAAATTATAGGGTATCAGGAACATAGGACAATTCTATATAGAATCAAGTTTGAAATGTTTATACACGTATGTGTATTAAGCATGCAGGGTTTTTTAAAGCTTGATGCAGGTGTGTTGAATATACGAAGGTTGTTAGAAAAGTTCGTGGACCCATTGACTTAGGGAAAAGTTATTGTGTATTGTGAAGTGTGATCTATGTCTGGATAAATTCTAATCTTTTGTTTATTAGTATTTAAAAAATCAGGTCTATTTGCTAAAATATAGAAAATTTACAAAGATTCTTACTGTGTGTTCATAGGATTCACGGAGCAATCACTTGACGTTAAGTGATGACAACCAAATTTCAAGCCCGTTAAGCTTTTTCAGAGTTCTAAATGTCCTTCAATCTTTAGACTTTTCTTCTCTTTTTTCTACTTAAAAATTAGATATCTATATCAAGACATGCTACTTTTCTTCTTTAATGTCTTTTGTGCTGTTTCCGATATTAGCAAGATCTTAAAATAAGGGATCAGCGCAGCTAAGCGAAATCAATGCAAAATCCAGTGGCGCAAGGTCCGTGCTATAAGCATGATAAGCTGGATAATGTGATATTGCAGGGGTTGATCATTGAAAATGTTAAGTCTTCCATTCTTATGAAAATACTTTCTTTTGAATGCTTATGTCCTATGTACATGAAGGCAATTTCAACAACATCTAGAAGCATTTTAGTCTCTTTTTTAAAAAGATATTTTCCTGTATGTAAACATAATTTTTAGTAGCTCGGTGCTCCGTGACGTTCAATGACGTTCCCATTCTTGGCTTAATTTTTATGAGTTGATTACGTAAAAACTGTTATAAAACAGTCATATGCCCTCCAATTTATTTCAAAATTTCGCCAAGTGGCGTTTCATGAATACTTTAGGGACGGACAAAATATTATTAATCTTTTTATGTTACAACTGTGCAATTTTTGATATCAAGATGTCTCTGTAATTTGAACGTGAGAAAACGAAGCATGCTCCGTGAAGCGTGTTTTTTTAAGATAAAATAGCTGTATAATTTTTAAGGATCACCGGAGAACACCAAATCTTTGTATATTTATTGGAAAATAGGTAAAATTTTTATCTTGGGAATTTTACTGATTTCATTAAAATAGCGCGCTCACAGTAGGACTTGTCCGCGAACTTTTCTAACAACCCTCGTATATGTACCTTAACTAAATACTAGCTAGATTAAAGAGTTTGTTCATGGAGATTTCGGGAGAACCACTCCAAACCTTGGAACTCTGACTGGGGTGGAGTGTGATATTGTGGAACTTGATGTGCAGGTGAGTTTGATCTTAGAATAGAGAAGTAGAGGTAAACTTTGAAATATATGATAAAACGTGGATAAGATATCCATAATATTCTAAGTACATGTAATAAAGATTCAAAATTTATGCCATTTATTCAATTGGAGCATGGAAAATTAAGGTCTGCTGAAAGAAAAAAAAAATGCAAAAACCTAAAATAAAACTTCTCTATCCAAACCTCAAGGCTCTAAATAGTCAAAATATCATGCAATAATCACAAATTATTGTTTATTCAATGTTTTTGTTAAATGATGTTTTTGAAATAAGAATAATCCAAATATGACTTCAAAATTTTATATTAGATAAATAGGAGAAAATTCATTTTCTTTTCAAACAATGACTCGGTATTGATACAAAATATTTTGACATAGTCTTTGATATAGGTACGTTTATAATAACTGTCTCATTACATACCAATGAGTGAGGGATGATTGCTGTGTGACTTGAATGAGAGTTATTATTCACAGATTTATTTCTAAGATTAAAGTAAACTGTCATTATATTTTGTTGTTTTCTTTTTACAGAGTGTTGAGCTGGATTGGCCTCCAAGCTTGGAAGAAAGCTGACAGATTCCTGTATCCTAGACTGAATAAATTTTGTACTACAGTTCAGTCTTTGCGTTTTCTTTCTTAAATGTTAAAGAAATGCGGTTTACATGAAGCCTGCAAACATATTTTAATTTAAATTTTGAAAAGATACCCCAACTCAACATTAAAAGAAATCCTATAAAATCTGACATGCTTGTTTCTTACCTTGATGTTTTAAGAAGAGAATGACAAGACAAATAACAACTTAACCTTCGAAAGAACCAAATGATTTGAAACTTTTTATTGTCACCTCCCTTGATTATGCAACAATATAGCACCGTCGATCTTCTACATATGGTGATAAATGTCTCCCAGTTGATTCAATATGATAAAGTTTGTCCATAGTACTGTCAATATCTAAATTGAGGCAGATTATTGATGTTGCAAGTGTATAAACGATAGTCTGAAGTCAACATTTTGCAAATCCTTTCGTTGATACAATTACAACCAGCTTTTGTATCCAATGTTGACTTGCACTTTAATACAAACAGTTGGGTTATTTTTAATATTGAAATGACTATGGAAAACTCCACCTACCCAATCACAACATAGAGCTAATACACACCACCTCACTTCGTCGGATGCTGGATCTAACCTACATTTTCTGCATGAGTGAAAAGAATAAAATATGGAGCATTTTTATTCACAATAGACTTTAAGCCTTTCTTGGACAATGAAGTACAGATGTGTTATGAAATCATTTAAAATTCAAAAACATTGCAATTTTATAAAGCCTGTTTTCCAAAACATTGACTTTCAGAGGCAACTTTTTTAATAGAAAATGAAAGCGTCATGTCTCTACTTTACATGTATATTGATGTATAAAATGGAACAAAGAGTGGTAGTCAGTTACTTGGTATACATGTATCTACAGGGTCGTTTTGTGTATTAGGAAAAACTTAATCTTTATTGATGTAATTCTCAAAAACCAAAACAGCATGCATATCTAAATATCAATAGTTAATAGAAATAGTATATATATATTTTCATCTACTGAATATTTGTTCCTTTATTTCTTATGAAGACCATTGTTATTAATCAGTGCATAAACGACACTAAACAATTGAGCCAGTGCGTTAATATTTTGAACAATGACTGTTCCATTAGTTATGCACAAAATAATATATTCATCTATTATGAAATATATCAATTTCACCTATTTCAATTTACTTTGAATGTTTTTAATACAGATGTAAATATTAACAATAAAAGGCCTTCCTTTTTATTTTATTGTTAGTACGGGAATGAACGTCGCAGCTACGTACAGCACAATAGCTGTGACATTGATTTCTGTACTTACAACTAAAGAAAACATTTTATTATTTAAGTGAATTCATAATTTTATTTTTAATTCCTCCACAGGAAGATGCAATGAGTACAGCCGCACTCTGAGTCAGAGTCCGTGGATTCTGGACGTGGGCAGGAATGTAATAATGTACAGTAAATATTCCCCTATGGCCTACTGAAAAAAATATTCCTTAGGAATACTGAGATGGTAGATTTTTCTTAAAATACTTGGCATATACACTGAATTCAATGTAAGTTATATACACAGTATAAAATTGAATAGTTTCTCTTTTGTAGTTTTCGCTAGCCAAGGGTTTCTGTTATGCTACTCTCCTCATGAACACTTGGCATACAGTGAAGTCAAAAGACGGGATTGATCTCCAATCTATCAGGTACGCACAGATTGCGCCATCGACAGAAATAAACCTGCGTGTTCAAAAAAATTAATTCAATTTTTTTTTTCCAAGATTAATTAAGAAGCAATAATTGAGTTATGTTTATTTATTATTTATGTTACAAATCGGAAGCTTCAATATAGAGTCTTAATCACATAGTGTAAACGTACTTTTTTCCACGGGGTCATAATTCCGCGGAATCTCAATTTCCCTTTAATCCTCGGGTAGAAAATTACGCGGATTTCTTAAACTGTCACTGTATGCCTTGCATTTTTATTAAGTACGCTTGGATAAATTTCAGCGGAAAATGTGTGACCGCGTACATAGCGTAAATTAATACCACGCGGAAAAAAGTACTTCTACAGTATTTAGAAGATATATTGGATGACACCATAGCTTTTCATAGAAATGGATGTTATCTTACGAATCGTTGTTTACTTGCGTTTTTCATTTCCGAGATTAAAGAGTCAAGAAGTATCCCGAACGCAAATATCGTCATTTACCAAAAAAAAAAAAAAAAAAAAAAAACCAAAAGACAAACAAACAAACAAACAAAACAAAACAATTGCTGATTGGTCGACCGGATGTACCGAATCCCAATGAGAACTCGAGAAAAAAACCCAACTTCTATCAACACCGTATGCCAATGGATTATGAGGAGAGTATCGTATCAGAAACCCTTGGCTAGCGAAGATGAAAATGCACACGCATGTTAGTATTTTACCTGTATTTAGTAGGAGAAGGCTTTTACTGGAGATATTTGATTTTCTTCACTTTCTGTTTCCTGAATTGAGCAACAAACAGATTGTCATATGTATCTGTACACAGTTCCCAGGGTTTACTCAGTCCACAGTCTATGTAACGGAGGAACTGTCCATCCTGGTCTATGATGTTGACACAGTCATTGTTATAATCAGCTGAAAGGATGTGACTCTGACTGTCTGTGGTGATTCCTCGTGGATCGAATGGTTTATTCTTTGGAGCAGGAGAATGTCCAGTGTACCTAAATCTCAGTCTCCCGGCCTGATTGACAACCACTACTGCTCTAGCTCCATTGTCAGACACACAGATATCCAGGTTCCTGTTCTCAGTTATGTACCAGAATTTATCAAATATGAAAACAAGTGTTGGTGATGAATAAATTAGCTTACCTTGATCATCAAACTGAATGGTTTGTTTCTCTTTGTAGCTAGAGTACCGAACAACTTTTGTTCGTAATCATCACTGTCCATGATAACCAGGAGGTCACCAGAGGAGGTACTGCAGACACCCTGAGGTATCCAGTTCTGTAGTCTGATCAACTCCTCTATCTTCTCATTCTTCACAATGTTCACAGTTCTATCACTATCATCAATAAAAACCAGATCTCCACTTTTTGCCGCTGCTATGTCTACTGGTGTGTTCCATGACTTTGTTGTGATTGTCTTGAGAAGTGATCCCTGATTAATGCTGTAGAGTTTCATGGTGTTGTCATTTCCACTTGTCCAGATATCTTCAACGCTCACACAGGCCACATTGTAAAGTACTCTATACCCAGTATCTATGGTGGTGATAATCTCTGGTTTATCAAGCAGCTGTTTGACCTGAGGAGTGGATCCAGCTTCTAGTGCTTTCTGTGTTGTCTTTATGCTGTAGCCATGTTTATCTGATGCCAAAAAACTTGATGATAGGGTTCCAAATATTTTTTGGAGTTCTTCTCCAATAATTTTGCCAGGAACAAATTTAGGTAGAGATGGTTGAATATTTTGTGGAAGATTTCTATATTTATCTACATTGAGAATAATACTAAACAGCTTTGAAATATTATTAGAATCCTCGGCAAGATCAACTGAATTAATTTCATCCTTGATGTCAGACATTGTCTTGTTTATTTCATCCAGATGTTTCTGTAGAGTTTGTAACTGAGTGTTTTTCATCCCATCAACTTCAGCTTTAAGTTTCTTGACAAGTTTGTCAATTTCTCTGTGCCAGTCCTCTCCATGTTTTGTTATGGCTGTTGAGAGATCTCCATATTCCTTTTCTAACTGACTCATTCTATTCTGTACATCAGAGGCTATGTCCTGGTAGATGGGATAAATTGTTTCATTTAATTCAGTTCTTTCTTTGATAATCTTTTCCTTTTTTTCATCCACAACTTGTAAGATTTCTGATAATTTATGACCCAGGTGTTGATGAGATGCAATGCACTTCGTACAAACAGGAATGTCACATTGATTACAGTACATTGTACATTGGTCTTTGGCATGGAATGAACATGCTGGGTAAAGAGGGGTGGATTTCCTGTCCTTGAAGGCAACAATTTTATGCGGTTTTGAGAGATCAGTAGAGAAGTGATCTCCCACACAGGCCTTACATAGGTTGACAAGACACGTATCACAGTGCATCTGTACCACAGCGGTCTCACACAGGTCACATCGCATCACGTCCTGGGCACTGGTACTGGGGTCCATCATTGAAATTTAAATTTGAGACTCTGAAATATAAAAATAAAAATAACTGCACATGATAGAGTGAGTTTCTGTATAATTTAAAATAAATGACTTCGTTGAAAAGAAAGAGAATAAAAAATAGCTAGCTCCTTGAAATAATACTTCATTAATAGAGTTCAGATTCTAAAAAAACTATATGTATATATATTGTTGCGACCGACTGGTGCATCTATTGATGGTGTTACGACTGAATGAAATCGATAGTATTATGACCGACTGTTCTTGATGTGAGCAAATGTATTCAGGGCTATGTGTTTGTGACCGATCGGCAGTAATATGAACATTATATTCAAGAATAACTGTTTAACTTAATAACTATTGTTACAATGAACTTACTCGTTATATTTTTGGTAAATCACATCATTTGTTATTTGTTGTTGTGACCTCCATGATTTTACCGCATAAACGCAGGAATAACGTGAACTCTGAACCCGATGCTAAATCTTCACATGTATTTGTAAATTCACTGTTAAACTAAGAAACGGACAAAAACTTATATAATTACACTTTACTAATTTTATTGGTATTTTTATAATGTTAAAAGTGTAGTATTTATTGTTCTATATTGGTACAACGTTATTAGTGCACCTTTCTGATTTAGGCGCGCTTACTTAGATTGTGATTTGACCATTGTGACGTTATTGATATCTGACGTATTACGTCATCATAACAATTCTTGTAAATAAAAGACAGCTGTTTTGTGTTCAGACTTCAGTCGGCTGTGGGGAGCGACTCAACGCACACGGCCTTCTCTGGTAAGGATAAAGTGGTATATAAAACGTAACCAAGTATAATTAGGTTCAGGTTTAATGGTTATTATCGCGAAGTTGGTTCCACTAGTAATTGTAACCAAAATTTGGTCAAGTCCTGGATTGGTTCATCACCCTTGTTTAGTAGTGAAATAACGTTGTACCAACCAAATTGAAGTGTACCATTTTTTTTATGACTATGTTTGTGTGGACCATTTTATCGTTACAATAAAGATTATTAACTTTAAACAAGTGTTATTCCTGACGATTCAAGTACAAACATTATTTAAAACGGACCAAAAATTGGTCATTACGTTAACCAAATAAGTGACCAAAAATTGGTCACTACGTCTACCAAAGAAGGTACCAAAAGTTGGTCATTGTGTCAACCAAAGAAGTGACCAAAAATTGGTCATTACGTCAACCAAATAAGTGACCAAAAGTTGGTCACTACGTCTACCAAAGAAGGGACCAAAAGTTGGTCATTACGGCAACCAAAGAAGTGACCAAAAGTTGGTCACTACGTCAACCAAATAAGTGACCAAAAGTTGGTCATTACGTCTACCAAATAAGTGACCAAAAGTTGGTCATTACGTTAACCTATCAAGTGACCGAAAATTGGTTATTAACCATTATATTAACTGTGACCGACGGAACCATCAAACCTCGACCAAGTGACCAGAAGACCAATAGCGGCCCACGAGTTTATTACACGATACCCTCGGTCTCGTTACATTGGTGGCAGCGGTGGGATCCGCTATTCTGTGAATTGTGAACCTAAATCACTACAAAGATGTCGAGGAACGAGAAATTGAGTGAGAAAAGTGACCAAAATACGGAACCAAAAGAACCACGGTTTATCGACGGTACTCCAAGCAAAGAAGTTCTTTTGCGGGTTAATAACAACGACCAGATAGGGGACGGCAGCGCAGTCAACACATGTAACAACGACAGTCTGCACATAATTCTTCAAGAATTAAAATCTTTAAAGTCCCAAATGATCCAATTACAATCTCAAGTGAGACCAACGAGTGCCGACAACCAATATGAAGACCAAAATTGCGTACAATCCGGTACCAGTACTACGTCTAAAGATGACCAAATACACAGTGAACATCACCCATATAGAAATGTGCACCTACAAAATTCATATGACGAATTTTGTGATTATGAACATTCGAGGACAAGTTGGTCAAACCCGACGGCATCACGCAGCTATACTATCAACGATAGGACCAACGAATTTCAGCCGACCATACGCAGTTTCAATTACGATGTACCAAATTATGGTCACACCAGACAAGTCCCGGATCACGGATTTAGGCGTTCCCCGGAACCTAAAGGGAGAAAACCAGCAACGTTTGATGGTACAATGAACTGGAACGACTACATAGTTCATTTCGACATGATCGCCCAATTGAACCACTGGAGTGAGGAAACAAAGGCATTAGAGTTAGCTACCAATCTACGCGGCCCAGCACTAAGCGTTTTGAGTGACCTGCGACCAGAATATCGTTACAATTTTCGTCATCTCGTTTCCGCACTATCAGCGAGATTTGACCCAGAAAATCAAACGGAAATCTACAAGACGCAACTAAAGAGCAGAATACGAAAGAAGAACGAAAGTATTACTGAATTAATGCAAGATATAAAACGTCTGGCGAGAATGTCATACCCAAGGGCACCTGTCGATTTTCGTGACCAACTTACCAAAGATGCGTTCATTGAAAGTTTAAACGATCAAGAAATGGAATGGGCGGTGTTTCAAGGAAGACCCCAAAACCTAGAAGATGCAGTCCGACTAGCATTAGAATATGAGGCTTTTCAACAAGCACGGGGAAGACGAAATAAAGTCGCAGTGCGTATGCAGGTAGAAGAACCAACATATACCAACAGAAATAATTATGAAACGGATCAAATAGCCATGATAAGCCAAAACACAAATAAAAAAGTTCACAAGAAAGGTCCCTGTTTTTACTGCAAGAAAGATGGGCACATCAAAAGTGAATGCAGGTTGCTACAACGACACCTCAAAGACGAAAAATATAGAGACCAAAGAAAATCAGATTACGCAAAAAGTCTGCCGGACAAAGAACCTAAGAATCAGGGAAACGCACAATAGTTGACGTCAGCGGCCAAACGTCAACTATAGAACATAAAGGGCCACATGTTTTAGAAATAAACGGTTCAACTTATAATTCATTAACAATTGATGTGATTGTGTACAATACGAAAATTAACTGTATCATTGACACTGGTTCAGCTATTACAGTCATACATCCAAAGAAGTATTATGAGATAGATAGACGTGTGAGACCCAAATTGTCTCCAAACCATAACAACTTACGAATGGCAAATGGTGAACTAGTGGTACCAGAAGGTCAGACTGTACTCCAAATCCGTATCAACGGAGAAACTATACAACAAAGAGTGGTCGTGGCTGACATTGAAGCCCAGATGATCTTAGGTTTCGACTTACTTAAAGGACATAATTGTCAGTTACACCTAGGAGAGGGGACCCTTATTTTGGGGAACAAGAAGTTACCATGCGAACTGACCAACGAACCAAATCCCGTATTCAAAATTTCTGTACAAGAGGACCTATCTATACCTCCTAGAAGTGAGATGGTTATTGAAGGTAAAGTAGACTCAAATTTAAATGACAGGGAACTTCTCATAGATGGAACGAAACGTGACCTCCAACAATCAGGATTATTGGTCGCCAGATGTTTAGTAAAACCTAAAGATGGTAAAGTACCAATCCGAGTTATGAATATTCGTAATGAAGAATTGAAGGTATACAAAGACACTTCTGCAACCATAGCTGAACTAGATCCAAATGTCAGTGAAATCCAGACCACAAGAATTAGTAATAAGGAACCCGCTGTAGACACAGATTTTACGACGTACATGAAACCTCTGTGGGACTCATGCATAAAGAACCTGACTTCTGACCAACAAGAAACTGTATCTGACCTTTTACAGAAACATCTCGGTGTGTTCGCTAAATCAAAAACCGACCTAGGGAGGACCAATATTGTGTCACACAAAATTGACACAGGAGACGCACGACCAATTAAATGCAACCAAGACGAATACCCCTTCACAAGAAAGAAGCTGCAAAAGAAGAAGTACAAAGAATGCTAGATACAGGAATTATAGAACCATCATCTAGTGCATGGAGTGCACCGATTGTTCTAGTGACTAAGAAGGATGGCAGCATTAGATTCTGCAGCGACTACCGCAAGCTGAATGATGTGTCACGGAAAGACTCATACCCTTTACCGAGAATAGACGATTCTTTAGACGCGCTAAGAGGATCAAGGTGGTTCAGTTGTCTCGACTTGGCTAGCGGTTACTGGCAAGTTATGATGGACCCAGCAGACAAAGACAAAACAGCGTTCGTTACAACTCAGGGGTTCTACCAATTTAAGGTCATGCCATTTGGCCTGTGTAACGCAGCGGCTACATTTGAAAGGTTAATGGAGAACGTTTTAGCAGGTCTGAACTTTGAAATTTGTTTACTTTACATAGACGACGTCATCGTATACTCCAAAGATTTTGACAGTCACGTTAACCATCTAGATGCTGTATTACAAGGATTACATGATGCGGGATTAAAAGTCTCGCCTAAAAAGTGTGACTTCTTCAAAAACCAAGTCACATTCCTTGGCCATA